AACCGCAACCAAATTCTCAGATTCAGTCGACGAACATTCAAACACTTCGTCACGCTAACGATAGCCTTCAAAATTGCGTTCAAAATCTACAGCGATTAGTTTGGTTTCATCTTACCTTCATAGCATCAAATGCTTATTTAGTCATCGTTGAGCGATCACAATTGAACAGAAAACATTCAAAGAATTCTCAGCTTTAGTTCATTCTTAAGCAGGAGATACCATAGTTTATCATATGAGACTTGAATCACTGAACTTTATCATTATTTTCATTTCATTTTCGAACTGTTAAATTGGTAAATCCAATCGGAAGGGTGACTTATTATGTTCTAAGCCTTTTATAATTTTTACATCTCAACCGAAAAAATAATTGTTCACGTGTTATATTCAGTTAAAAGAGAAGGCGTTGGAAATATCGCGAATGGAATATCAATTTTCAAAGGATGTTCAGGAGCGTGACAGTCAGATTATTTCTTTACATAAACAACTGGAAGAATGGAAGCGCCAGAATCCCGTTCATGTCAACGCAAATCAGGCAACGACAGGTGTTGGTGATGAAATGAAGGACATGAAGCGTCGATTGAATGCATCCATGAAGGAAAGAGAACAGTTAATTCATAGANTTGTTTGGAAATGGAATTAGCGTCGCAAATGCAACGAATCGCTTCGGAGGAAAATCAGTTGTCGAAATCGTCATCGCATTTAGCACTTCTTCAGAGCAACATACATCAGCTGGAACAATATAAGAGAAATTGTGATAAACGATTGAATGATCAAGAAAGTAGTTTGCAAGAATTGGAAAGTGACATAGCGTTGTTGATGGATGAAAAGCGTGAACTGAAGGAACGATGCAACCAAATGAAACGTCTCAATGATGAAGCGATCGCTGAGAATACAAAACATTTAAATGAAATTCATGTTGGTTGTCATTCTTTTTACCATTGTTATTGTCGTTGTTGTTGTTTCCATTGCTTATTATTATTCATTCAAGGTGCCTGAGTCAATCCATTTATCCACTGATTCATTCCAATGAGCTCTTAGTAAATAACTATAATAAATGAACGGTACTATATGTGAATATTAGCAGTAATAATAATGATAAGAGTAATATTAATGAATCATTAATTTAAAGGAATTACGTTGTCGACTGGAACGTTGTGAAGAGAAAGAGATTACAAGTGCACGTGCACATCTTGATGAAATTGATACGTATCAAAAATTGCTGAAGCAAAAAGTGAGTGCTTTCAGTCATTTCAATAGCTCTCTATCTGAGC